TAACCCAAAATCTACCTCACTTTATTTTAAATAAAAATACATGTAATATTTATTTATTTTAAAAACTATCTCAAAAATAGATTTATATATTTTTAATAAAAATACAAACTTAAAAAAAATAAAAAAGAAAGAACAATGAATTCATATGTATCCCTTTACTCCTGCTTTATCTTAGTACAAATAAAAAACTTTCTGCAACAAAAAGGCATATATAAATTCATAATTTTTAATTTTTTTTCCTTTTTGTCAGTTTGTGTTTTTATTAAAAAATATATGAATTTATTTTTGAGATATTTTTCTAATAAAAATAAATATTACATACATTTTTATATAAAATAAAGTTAGGTAGATTTTGTGATACTAGATATGAAGATTTAATGAGTAAATCATTTAATACTAGCAAAACCACAAGTTTTGATTTTAATTTTGAAAATTTTTTAACTTTTATATTTTCATATTTTGAGGGTTTTTTTAATATTTTTTGAAGTTTAGATTTATCTGAAAAAAATTTCAATTTAATTTATTAAAAAAAAGTAAATTTGCAATATAAAGAGAGAGACGGTAAAGGAGGAGAGAGAAGATGAATAGAAGAAAAAGAAGTAGATGAGGACTCTTTAGTAATTTTGCAGTTTAAATTGACCACATCACTCACCCAATGCCATATCAGCACCAAGCCACTTTTTGGTAACGGAGTAACAAGGATGTGGACGGAAAGATGACATTTGATGAGGTCATCGTCAGCAGAAGGGCTGATTTGCCGGTTTTGTCAAGTGGAGGGGCTGATTTGCTCTACTTTTAGGTAGAGGGGCTGATGCGCCACAACAATGGACGTAGAGGGGCTGAATTGCACCTTCTGCCATTCTTATTTGGATAATGTCCTGGCCATGTGGTGTTGGTCCAATTGTTCGACTTGCTGTAGCTTTTTGGGGGAATATTCTAACAGAATCTTGGTTTTTTCAATGGTTTTTTCAACATATATTTTTAAGATATAAATTAAAAAAAAATTTTGGATTAAATGTTCATAAATTAATATAAAAATTGATATTAATTTTAGTATTAAGTGTGTTTAATTATATAGTTAATAAATTAAATATTAATTTTTATTTTTTAATATAAATTTATGATATAAAAATATATTTAATACATTTTTAATTTATACTTTTGAAATACATATTAGACAAAAAAATTTTTTATTTGTCCAAGGATTAAGGAAATCGGGGGTAATGAATTGTCAACATTCTAGAGATTTGTGGGGATTTCTCACGTCGATTTTTCATTTAATAGTTTGGAAATTCTAAGGTTGATTACTTTTCCTTCCGGAAATTAGGGCCAAGGCCAAAGATATGGATACCAACATTATCGTTATAATTATTAAAATGGTAAGATATTATTTAATTTGATTAATATAAATTATTAATAATTAATAATTAGTGATTAATAAAATAATTAATATTTTTTAGTTAATAAATTAAAATGAATCAACAAATTAATATTTTAAATATTATTAAAAAACTAAAATTTTAATGTTCTTGATAATTTCGATAGTGACAACGGATCGCAACCAGAAATTAATGACAATTACCTCACCCAAAAGTTAAGATTAGATTAATTAGTCTTCCTTTCGTTAAAACCTTCTTTCTTTCATCCAATCTTTTGTGGGAAGGATCAAGACGCCACTAGTGTTGCCTGTGCTTTAGTGGTAGGAGAAAATGAGACCATGGATTAACAATAGTGCCTAAGGATCGTGGATTATTAATTACAAATGACGACAACAAAAGCCTAGTGTAATCGGTTTCCTATTATGTTTATTAAAAACTTGAAAATAAAAAATTTTATATTCAAGTTGTTTCATATAAAGTTGTCCTCAAATCTTGCTTGGTTGCGTTCCAAAATTGGGCTCTGTGTGATTGGCAATGGGCAATTTTCCCAGAGCCTGCTAAGCGTGCGTATATGACTCACAAGTCTACTTCACAATGGTCAGTACTAAGCCCAAGAAAGATTGATGGATTATGATTGAGTCTCATCAACATTCATCTCTTCTACATCCAATTTTCACAATGAGTGACGACACATGTAGATTATAGTAATCGACACCTGAAGGGTGCGAAAACTGGAATATTACATTCGCTTACTGGTGAACTTGAGAGAAAAGTTTGAACAACATGGTGACAAAAGATGAAGAACTACAGTTGCCTAGGACTGGAGGACAAGACTTTTGCCGAGTATCATGTCATCCGTCGAGAAATCAGCCTCTTTCCTGAATGTTCCCCTGCCAAAGTCTAGGTTGTACGAGTCTGCAAGTCCTTCAACCAGATCAAACTTGGGTTTCAATCCGAGAACGTGCTTCGCTTTGTCAACTGACGCAAAGAAATGCTGCATCATATAAAACAAAAATGGTTAAAGATAAAGATAAAATGGTCCCTGGTATGATTTGCCAAGAAATTGCAATGTCAAATTAATACTCTTTCCAAGTATAAATGTAAACATGGAAAATACTTGTTCTGAGAAAAACGTTTTCAGACATATGGAACTTTCTGCCAGAAAATGACCTCTCCATCAAATATATTGGAGCCTTACGCCTTCACCTCCACTTTCAAGGGAAAAAAATAATCCAATTTGGAAAAGCATACATTTATTTATCTTATTTATAACAGAATTGCCACTGGAATTTCATTGTTTGCTTACCTGATCTCGGAATGGGAATGCCTTCTTTTTTCCAAAGTCAAACTCCTTGGGGTTGTAGTGTATAATCTCTGGCTCAGGAAATCCACCAGCCTGAAATAAAGAGAACCAACAAAGTCATGAATTTTTTTTCGGATAAAATGTGATTTGTTATTTATCCAATAATACTGCTGATCACAATCAAAGCAGCAAATGTGCTGCTACAGTCCAAAAAAAAAACAATGAAAAAAATCAAAGTCATGTAGTTAGTACTTTAAACTCATTAGTTTTCCATCTCTTTGCATATTTTTAATAGTTCAGAAATGGACTTATTGGATTTACCTTTGCGCATGCCTTAGCTAATCCATCAAAAGTGACATACTTCTCCCCTGAGATGTTGAATATCTCTCTGCTGGCTTTCTCATTGCCAAGAACCTGGACAAAAGCCGTAGCCAAGTCCTGGAATTCCACATCTCTATTAAATCCTTCTTGGCCAGTATTGCAAGAAATGAGTCCAAAGACACAAATTCATAGCTCAACTAGGGACAAGAACATTACTAAAGCAACATTCAAGTGTACCATACCGTATGGTCAGATTGTAGTTTCACTAACCTTAACATGACCAAGTTGGGTTATTTGCATTCCTGAGTTGGGAACTGGAATAGGACGACCAGCTTTCAAACGGTGAAAGAACCACTCTTCAACAGGATTGTAGTTCAAGGGCCCATATATGTAGACTGGCCTTATGGAAGTCCAATTGACACCCCTTGATTGAAGCAAAGTTTCAGTATTGAGCTTTCCTTTGTGCCTACTCTTTGGATCAACTGCATCAATCTAGCACCATGGACTAACTAGTCAGAAGAAAACAATGAAGGAGGAAAAAAAGTGAAGAGGAAAAGTATCTATTTTTCTTGATAGCAAGGGATTGGTTTGATAGGATGTTATGAAGTCCTTACAAATCATTATGTTGTGTTAACAGAAAAATGCCTGCAATCGTACCTCAAAGTGTGGTAAAAGATCAGATTTGAGGTAAACACCAGCCGAAGAGCAGTATATGTACCTGTGAATTAGCAGAAATAATTTAGAAATTTGAAAACCAGCTCCATGATAGAAAGAAGCACGCCATACAGTTTGCAAGTCATTTCAGTCATGTCTTTCCTTGAACAATGAATTGCTCCTAGTCCTAGGCTCCTAGCCATATATCAACTAAATCACCACCATTCTTACACCTATTACAGAAGTAAACTGAATCTGCTGTGATCTATGTCATCATATGGCATTAGCATTGGTCTTTTGTATGTTTGTGCAGTGCATTAGTTACTCAGAATTTTAGCCATAAGTATCAATTTCAGCCATAAGTATCAATTTCAATCATAATCATTGAATTGATATAAAAAGGCAACTGAATGGTGAATTACAGACCGACTGAACGTAGGAATACTTTCCAGAATATATATATATATATAGCCAATAGAGCCTAATAAGGAAGATGCAATGGAACTGTTATAGCACTTACTGTTCTAGATTTGGGAGTGCATCTAAAATAGGTTCAACTTCATCAGCTTCTCGTCCTGAAAAAATTGAAAAGAAATATTCTCTATTTGAGATGAAAGGGTACATATTGTATTATTTCAGAGAACAATTCTAGACCAGTGGGAAGATTCAAATTCAGAAAGACAGCACAAAAGAAACTACACACACCATTTATATCATAAACAACATCGAAGCCTTCAGCTGGCAGACTTGTTCTCACAAAGTCAAATTCCATTCTATCTCCTTTCAAATGCAAGATCTAGCAAATCATTGATATTAAAAAAATCATCTACTTAGTAATCTGAAGTTCCTTTGTTTAAAGTTAACACCATTCTAGCAGGGAAGCCGACAATAGACAGAACACCACCGTGGTTATTAAAATTTTCAGCCTAAATTGATGCTTGTCAATACCTGGGATTTAAAATTAGCATAATCACTGTCTGATTCACCGGGTAATTGTTGTGTAATTGGTGCTTTTCCTCTGGTAAACAATGTAACCTGTGAAAATAAGAAGAAGCTATTACTTTACTTTGGCATCCAAAATATTGAATTTACAATGTGATGGAATGAGAGACAATCAAAGGAAATGGGCAATACGAGTACCTGATGACCCTCTTTCACAAGGAGTCTTGACAAAAACAAACCAATAAATCGGGTGCCTCCCATTATAAGAATTTTCTTGGCACCTGATGCCCTGACATTTAGAGCTCCTTTTGGTTTCGGAAGACACACCTGTCTTTTGTACTGCAACCAAGGTATAGATGTCAAAAATTGATTCCATCCCAGCCCCCCCTTAAAAAAATAAAATAATAAAAAAAAAGAGAGAGAAGAAGTATATGCTCCTAAAATCTTTAAAGGCCTATTCTTATAATTTTAGTTTTTGGTTCATATGGTTTTATTAGAGAACATCTAAGACAAACATTCAAGAGGAATCCTAGTTGATGGAACCCTTTGAATCTAGTTAAATTCAATTCAAGCAGCTATTGTCTTCTCCATGTCTTGAAACAGCAGCCAAATTATTCAAAGATGAACATATCAAGCCCAAGTTCTTTAGCATATAAGTTTGAAATGTAGAAGAATCCAATAGGAAGACGAAATTTATCAATCATTTCTGTCTCAACCATGTACTTGCTTTATCCAAAAGGTAAATTTAACAATAAAGCAATGTTCTTGGCATATAACTGGAAGAAAAGAGCGCAATTCCATTGATTATCCAATGCAGAATTTCATCTCATGGTCACATATAATGTGTTTTGTACATGTAAAAGAGAGAGAAGGAGAGAGTGAAACACCTTAATTTGAGAGGGGAGCTTTGTGCCACTGAATTCAGACAGAGAAGAAGGAAGGAGGGATAAGGAAGGCGGTTTTGGTTGCTGAACCACCACCAGCTTTGCCATGCTGCTTCTCTATCCTTCTTCCCTTTCTTTTTGAGGCTGTTATTGTAGCTGCAGCAACTGAAATTTGAAAGGTCTGAACTTTTTGGGTTCTTTGGCACTCTCTCATTCTAACAAACAATGTGAGGATAAGACAATGACCCACCTTCTCACCTCACACACTTGGGTTACATTCACAGCCTCACAATATAACATCACTTCTCCCCCTCTACTTTGTGGTGAGTCTGGTGACATTGGAGATGTGGATGAATTGGATCCAAGCCCAGAACCAAAAACTGGGTTCTGGGCTTGGATTCATAGGAACAGTGGTAAGCTGGGTAATTGCATTCTTTGTCCCTAAACCTTTAAGCATGATTCAATCGAATCATATACTTAAAATATGTTGTGATTGGAATCTGGACCTTCTTCAAGTGAGCTAATTGGGTCCCAATCCCCATATCAGTTACGGTATTTCCATTTTCATTTATTTGAAAAATAATTTTTGATAATGGACTAGTATGGTGTCCATATGTCTCACATTTTGATTCAATTTTTTTAATAGCCAAGAAAAAGATAGTAACAAATTTAGTAGCTGTTTTATATTAGAACTAAAATAACTAAATAGAAAAAAGTTATAAATCTATTGGTTTTATATATATATATATATCTTGGTCTTAAGTTATAGAGTAAGAAATGTTCATTTTTTTTATATTGGTCTTAAGTTATATAGTAAGAGAGTCCAATATTGTTGGAGAATAGGCCCAACTTTGGCTTTAGACCCAAAAACTTCGATGAAACTCAAAGATTCAAAGGGAATAATAACAATGCACTCACATGGCCTAAGACAAATGGATGAACAACACGTGGCTTGGATGTCATTAATGAAAACCATAAATACCCTTACCTAACTCCATGCAAGATAATAACCTTATTGCCTTTCTCTCTACGATTACTTTTTTTGAAAGTTTATTTTTTTAAATTATAAAATATTATTGACTTGAACATTGAAGTGTTTGCTTGGAGAAAACATCTTCGGGTTTTTTAGGTATTAAAATAGTTTGTGATCTCAACTATAGGAGTTCGTAGAGCTGCCCAAATAACCACTTAATTGAATTATTCTTGAAAGTGAAGGAACTATCTAATAATCTAATCAAGTTGAATATCAAGGTCTAAAATGTAAAATTACTAAGAGTTCTTGTCATAGCCTCATAGGTAAAATGGAAAAGTTTTGGGAAAATTGTATAATTTCTGAAATATTAGGGGACTACTTTCATAAACCTCACTACCTTCCCTTCGATCTGCAATCTGCGTAAGGAGAAAGTAGAACAGACGCAGAAAAATTCCATTGTTCAAGAAATATCCCACAATCAAATATATTAGCTCCAACTGTTCATCTTCTTCGTAATTAAATTCAGTCAAAAGCATCAAGCTTCTACATGTCTTCGACAGATTTTGGTGAAGTTTCTCGGGTAAGTTTACTCATCTCTCCTTTTCAGATTCTTTATGTCAGATATTTCTGATTCTCATGGTTCTTGCATCTGAAATAGATACAAATGGGCAGATGTAATGTGTTTGCATGTCGATAATTCATGGGTTTGTTGTGGGTTGTGGGCTGTTTTGATCTTGAGTTGGGCAATCAACAGATCTGAGGCTTTTGGAAGGATTTTCAAGGTTACCCCATTGTTATTTGCTGATAAAACTGAGAAAAGAAAACCCCAATAGGAAAATTGATCATAGGTGAATATAGCATATTCCTAGGAAAGAAAAACATAGGGGTTACTTTGACTTTGTTCACTTCTTTGGAAATGGATCTGGAATCTAAAAATAGCCTGCAGAAGTTTCAATCTTTTGGGGGTTAAATAATTCAATCTTTTGGCATTGTAATGGATATGATCTATTATTCTATGGTTTTGAACCTTTTTATAGAATAAGACTGTAAAGTTGCAAACTTGAAAGCCAATTTCTTGTTGGGTACTCATAATAAGTGTTTGCTTCATTCTGATAATGTGGATTTTCTCTTATGTGCAGCCTGCGGGTGAAAATTATGCCAATCCAAAGACGTGTTTCTTTCATGTTCTATTCAAGGTCAAGTTTTTCATATCTGCTAGTCTTGTTAGGGAGTTTGTTTATATGCCCACTTCATGTAGAATTTTTGGTTTCTTGTTTCTTCCAGGCTGCAGCTCTAGCATTTTATATACTCTCTGCACTCTTTGTCGATAGCTTTGTCATAATCTTTGTGGTGACTGTTCTTCTTGCTGCTCTTGATTTTTGGGTAGTTAAGAATGTAAGTGGGCGTATCTTGGTTGGTTTGAGGTGGTGGAATGAAATTAATGATCTTGGTGAGAGTGTGTGGAGATTTGAATGTCTTGACCAAGAGGTTGGCCCTTTCTCTCCCTAATCAAATTACGTCTGTTCTCAGAAATGGTCTTTTTTTTTTAGCCTTGCTCTTAGACATGGTTAAATTGCTTAAATCATTGCCTAGTCTCTCAAAATTTATTTTCAACTTTTTTTTTTTTTTCTGCTTTAGTTATTGGCACGTATGAACAAAAAAGACACATGGCTATTTTGGTGGACTCTTTACCTAACAGTAAGCTACACTTTTCCATAGTTTATGGTGATATGGTCTGCTTATGCGCTTATGGCATGTTCTTCTTACCAAAATTATTTGTTTACCCTTTAATTTTCTAGGCGGTCGCTTGGATTGTGCTTGGAATATTTTCTTTGATAAGGTTCCAAGCTGATTATCTCCTTGTTATTGCGGTCTGTTTGACCCTCAGCATTGCAAATATTGTTGGCTTCACCAAATGTCGCAAAGGTATGTTTGATAAGCTTCCATACTTAATGTGACTTTTGACATATTGTTTCGGCCTTTCTCTAGCTGTGCTTCATGCAAGAATTGCACATAACATAGCCATGATAAATGTGGAGTTTTTATTTAGAACTAATATATATATATATATATATATGCTTACAACTATAAATGGTAATCTGGAATATTGAGACTGAAAAATGTCATATTTGTTATTGACTTATTAGTTATTAGTAAATGGGATAGCTTGAAGCTGAAGCAAGGTGTAGTATAGTGAAATGGATACATTTGCAGCAAGCTCATAAGCATCTAGTTATTTTATGTGGAGGGCGAGGGACCAATTTGATTTACTAAGATCTTATGCAGTAAGTTTTGAGCACTTGTCTTAAGGTGATGGATTGAATGAAGCATGTATTTTGATCCATACTAAAGAGGGACCTGAAGAATGATTGAGGGATTTGGGGCACAATGGAATTCGCAATGTTGTTTTCTTTCTGCCAAGTCTACTGCAGCTCCTTTTTATCTGAAATTGAAATAATTTAATAAAAATATCTTTGTTCTTTCAGATGCAAAGAAGCAGATTCAAGCATTTGCCTCCCAGACCATTGCTTCGCGATTTACATCAACCATACAGTCAGCGTTTAGTGTTGTGTGAGTTATTCAGTACAGAAGATGAGAATGGAATGGAAGAAAGCACTTCAGTAATATAGATGTTGCGAAATGGAGGCCTGCAGAAGTCAGCTATCATAGGGATTGCCTATTTTCATTTTTGAGTTAAGATGTTTTGTATCGACACCATTAATGATCTGTACATTGAACTAGGAGAAACGTTCAACAAAACACTCAAACTCTGCATCCCTTTTACACATTTGAATGGTCTATTCCGTGTAAGAACTTACATGATATGTTCTTTCGATTGGATAAGCAGTTTCTTCTCTTTGCTCCCTCTTCTCCTCTCTGAACTTTTTCTGTGTTTTTTTGGCCAAATCCTCTATAAACTAAAATTGCATGTTCTCTAATGACCAAAAAGGCGAAAAAATCCCAT